TTAAAGTTACATTTATAATTAAATATTATATTTATATAATTAATTAATATATTATTAAATAATCAATTAATAACTTATAACTTAACTAAATAATTAAATATACGTATTGAAATTTAAACTTAAAATTTTAAAGTATTATAAAATCTCTTATTTATCATTAAATCAAAGTCTCATTAACTGATTTTGATATTGTACGAAACAAAATTAACTCTTCATAAATTAATTTATTGGCACTTTGTGAAATTAAATTGACCTTTGGAAACTAACTAATGAGATGTTTTTCATCCTTTCATTTTCTTTCTTTGTCAAAAAAAAAAAAGTACTATTATTAGAATAAATAGAAAAAAGCGGAAAGCTGTTTCACAGTTAAAAGTTATTACTTATTAGGAGTGTTATAAATGCACTAACAAGAATATTAATTGTCCCACACAACAAAAGAATGAAGAATCCATGTATTAACTCTATTAAGGATGCATGGCTTGATTCTGACCGAAAAGTTTAATCTCTGTTTTTTTTTTTTTTGGGTATTTATTTGTATTTTTTTCAAAAACAAATAATTAAAACATGGATGGAATCTTATTTATTTAAGCCAAATTTTTTATGCAAAAATACCACAAGGTGAAAATAAAAAATAAACATTATTGATGTTAAGATTTGAATTCAAATTTTATTAGATTTTTTTAATAATAATTATATAAATTAATTAAATTAAATTTTAAATTCATAATGACAAAATTTTGAATATATATATTTATTTAACTATTTACATATGAGAATACATTATTGGTAGCTAAATTGGATAATTGAAATATCTCAAATCTCATTTTTTGATATAGCAACTTTATCGATTAATAAAACTAAGATTGGAGGTTGAATTGACGGAGGTTTTGGTAACCAATCAATTGATCCAATTCATATAATCTATAAAAAAAAATGTTAATATTAAATATAATATTTTTATATTAAATAAGTATTAATATAGCAAATAATTAATAAAATTGCATTTTGCTTAATATATGATCCTTACTATAGAATTGAAAGATTAAAGAATAAATTCGACTACTTAAGAAATAAATTTTGAATAATAAAATAAATATAAAATTGGTTTTTGTCGATTCAATCAATTTTTATTGATTCAATGAAAATTCAATTTAATACATGTTATTAGATTGAATAGATCACTGGTTCTCGGTTCAACCAATCAAATTAATCAATCCAATTTTAGTTTAATTTAGTAATTGTTACTTTTTTTAATGGGATTATCGTATAAATTATAAAATTTGAAATTTTTTTTATTTTATCTAAACTTCCTCAAATAAAAAAAATAAAAATCTTACTAGTTTTTAAAAAATGTTGTAAAATGTTAACAATAAACTTTATTTTTTAAAACCTTATCCCAAATGTAAACCCTTTTATAAGAAGGATAGGATAACTATTTATTTGCATAATAATATGATATATTTAGAAAAATGAATTTAAGTAAATAGATTTAATTTATTTATAAATTATGATAATGAAATACACATATTATGTATGAATTAGTTAACGTTCAACGTGCTTATATACTAAGAATAAGCCTTAGAATTGCAGGGGATGGATTTATATATGTGTTAAAAAATAGTAATGAATATTGCATAGATTGTTATGAAATATTTTTTATTCACAATTGAGTACTTTAAAGTAACTCATTTATTTTAAAAAAAAAAAAAAACTTCTATAGCATTACCAAAAAAAAAGCATGCACTGCAACATTATATAAATACTACAAAGTTGATGCGAGGTTAAACTTTTTTTAAAAATCTTTTAGGTATTTAATTTAATTATTTATAATATTTTTAGGTTGTATATGTGTTAAATAATATAATATTTATTTCAAAAAATGATTTTAAAAAGTTAAAATAAAATAATAATTATAAAATAGTAATCAATTAAAATTTAATATCTAATACCTTTTAAATTATATTATATGTTCTTTGTTGCGCAATGATACTAAATCAAAATCCCTTCTCTTAAATCTAAACTAGAATGTTACCCTTCACATGGGGATTTTTTAATTTTTAAAAGTGTAATTTAAAAATTTTATCTTTTTAAGTTTTTAAATTTTTTTAAATAAAAAATAAGAGTTTAAAAATCTTATATCTAGAGTTTTTTATATAGTTGTTTGTAATGATTGGTCGTTGTTAATTTTTTTTGTAATTCATTAAAAAATCTTAAATTTAATATTTTTAGGTTTTTAATTATATATTTTTTGTTTTTAAAAGATATTTTTTTAATATTTAAAATTTTTGATCTGATAATTTTTAAAGAATTTTTATTATTTTTTGTGAGATTTTTTAGTTAATTTTAATGTAGGTTATTTTTTCAATTGATTTTTTTTAGTTGCAATGTTTTTGTCTTAATAAGTGAGTGAAATTTAATATGTTGGTTAGTTTTAAGATTTTGAAGGTAGATTTTTTTTTTATAAGTTAAATATATTTTTATGGATTTTTTTATCATCAAGTGCTTTTTTTTTTTTTACAAAAGCATTTGAGGGTATTGTAATTGTTAATAACACATCATCATACCTATACTTAACTTGTATTATGGTTTTTTTTTATTATATAAGCAAATAATTTTCTTTGAAATTTTTTTATTTTAAAAATTTTCACATGTTAAGTAAGGGTTTTGTTATGCATAATAACCGTTAAAAATATTTGAAAAAAAAATAAAAAACAATAAAAATAACACAAGGCAAGCAATGGACTTGCCACATGTCACTATATTTTCCTTTAGGGATAACTTTTATATATAGGACATGCCTCTATCGTAGATTTGTTCCGTAATTTTGACCCAATAAAAATCAAGGTACATTAATTAAATACCTTTTTCATCATTCTAATAAACAAGATGAACATTCTGTCACCACAAAAATAATATAAGTGTACTGTTGATGTATGAGTTATCATGTTTTCTAAGTTACACTTTACCTTTTATATGACTATATATATGATTTTGAATCTATTAATCATCCTACCTGAAATTATTAGTTAAGAATTATCCATAATATATGTTATGGCATTATTTTCCCTCAATATTTAATGTTTTAAAGTAATAGACCTTCTTTTGTGTTCAAATGGTAGGTCTTATTACGTGTTAAGTTACAAATACAACTATTTTTGTATTGAATTATTAGGTGTCAATCTTAATAAAAACTTTAAACTTTAATAGATAATTTTATTTTACTCTCACACCAAAGCATAAGCTTCTATCTAGTGTGTGTGCGCGCGCGCGCGCTTTCTCATTGATTTAAAATATGTATCACAAATAAAATTTTGAAATGTTATTTTAAAATTAAATAAAAAGTTTGTCAATAATTTTTTTTCCACCAAGAAAATTAATTTTCTTTTTTTTTAAATTCAAAATTTATTTTTTTTAGGTTTAAAAATGATTATAACAAAAATTCATTTTCTATACATCATCAATGAAAATTTTAATTTACATAAGTGAGACTCAAATATGTTTTTTCTATTATGATATTAGTTATTATTTTTTTTAATTTTATTATATATATATAAGTATGTGTACATATCGTACTGGAATGTTTGAATAAAAAGCGAAAAGAAAAAAATAAAACTTCAGATTCAATATAAAGAATAGAGATTAATACTGCTGATTTGAAGCTTCCATTGTCATTCACATGTGTAGGAATCATCTATAAATTGTGAAAGTCATATTTATGAATAATGATTAAATTTGTATTAAAAAGTAATAGAAAAAAAAATAGAAAAGAGCCTAAACTTCAAAAAATGATGCATTTCTTTTAAAACATATATACAAATAGATGTCATTTATTAATTAATGTGCAAATCATTAACATTTTTTGGGCTTAAAATTTTTTGTTGAAAATGTTTATTATTGAGTTTTTATTGATATATTTATAAACATAGGCATAAAGTTTCCATAAATCCATTCCTCCTACATATTTCCTCTCTTTTCCAACATTTTTAGGTTTTTTACATGATATAATCTTTATATCATAAATTATAGTGTATAGTTCGGAAGTTAGTAAATAAAAAAATTATCAAATCAAGTTAAATTGAATATGTGCATTTATTAATTTTGGATATCAAATCCCATAATTATTTTCAAATCTAAATGCAAAATTCTTTTTTATTTTTGTTTCAAATTAATTTTTTTATGAATTTATTTTTATTTATAGGCATTAACTGTCTATCAAATGTTACAAAAATAAAAATTTTAGTATAATAACTACAACATGTTATTCATCTTATTTGGTACATGTATTTTTTTTTTTTTGAAACAAAATGCATGATTCTATCTATTTTTACATAAATTAATTATATTGTACTATTTGATATAATTAATTTTAATCATTTGTTCATTTTAAATCAATTATGATATTTTTTTCATTTATTTTATTGCATAATAAATATTCAAAAAGTAAAAACAAATAATAAATACACCGATAAAAGAGAAAACTCAATTGACCAGTCCTGTTCTTTAAAAAAATAAATAAAAGCAACGTGCATTTATCTGTCATTGTCAACAAAAATAAGTCTTGACTTTCAATTTTGACCTACATGCAGATTGAGATCTCTAAACTGAGACTTATAAGCGGTGGGGGAGCTTTGTTATAAATAAAAATAAAATAATCGTCCCCGAATCTTTGATTTAATGATTAAAAACATTTAGAAGAATATTAAAGGCTTAATTTTAAATTAAAAGGTTTTATTTTTTTAATATAATCAAAAATAAAATAATTCTCAATTTGATTTTTTTAAATAAAATTTTAATTTTAAATTTTATAAATAAAAATAAATATAAAAAAATTTATTTTTTATAAATTTGGAAATCGTCAAAATTTAAAGTGATTATTAAATATAAAAATCTCAAAAAAAAAATAACCAAATAAAAAAAAACAGCTGGCATCTTATAATCCCTAATGACTTTTTTGTTTAGAGGGTATATAGATTCCCAAATGCCTTAGGGAATTAAGCAAATCCCTTTCCCAGATCTAAAACTAAAAGACTCCCATCCGCCTATCACTGCTTCTTATCCCATTCGCAGTCCAAATCCTTCAAAACCTCTTTCAACGCAAAAGTCAAAACCCTCCCCTTTTCACATCTCTTAAGAGGCTTAGGTCTGTCCTTCTCCTTCTCCTTCTCCTTCTCCTTTTGTACTATCAACTTTTGAGTACTTTCCAAAAATGGGAAAAGTTTCTGCCATTGGCTACATCACCGTGGCTCTTCTAATCCTCTTCCTCATCTCTTATTCCCCTAAGAAACACTCCACCAGCAACCGCCATCGCGGCCTCAAGCTCCGCTCTTCCTTCAGCTTCGGCAACCTCACCCGCCACGAGCCCGTTGCTTTTGATCCGCTTGTCGCCGACATCGAGCGCCGCCGTGAAGACCGCCAATGGGAGAAGCAGTACTTCGAGCATTCCCATCCTGAGTTTACACATGACCCCGCTCCCGCTGAAGAGTCGCAGCCCGAGTGGGAGGATTTCATGAACGCCGAGGATTATTTGAACGATGAGGACAAGTTCAATGTTACCAACAGGTTGGTACTTGGTGGTGTTACATTTACTTCTAAATTCATGTTACTACTTTTTTTAACTGTTTGAAAATTTGGAGCTTTACTTAATGTTTTAGCTGCCAATTTTAATCCTTGTCAATTACATGTAGATGTGGAACTGATGTAATTATAATCATTGTTGGCAATTAATTTTAGTTTATTTACTAATGGCTATGTTTTTAGTAAAGTCTTTTAGTTGTTCATATGCTTTATAGAAAGCATGCTAGGTGTCTTTATTATTTTACTTATTGAGATGTGCCTATGCGTAGTTGTTTTATAGAGTACAATGGGTACATTGTGATGATTTGTCTGGTAATATAAAATGATATTTCCTGCGTATATCTTTGGATCATGACGCTGTTTATGTAGACCTTGCACCTGTATTTGTATACTCGTTGATGCACGTTGACAGTAACATTTTGGTGGAGGTTGATTGAGTGGAGGTTTAATGTAATGATCAGGTTGGTATTGCTGTTTCCCAAGATTGATGTGGATCCATCAGATGGCTTTGTGACTGAGAATGAATTGATTGAGTGGAATCTCCAGCAGGCTGCAAGGGAAGTATTGCACAGGACTCTGAAGGAGATGGAAATTCATGATAAAAACCATGATGGGTTAATATCTTATGCAGAGTATGAGCCTCCCAGTTGGGTGAAGAATGGTCAGCGCTTTATACCGTTATATTACTAAATTTTAATTCATGTTATGGAACTAATGTTCAGTGTTTTTGCTTTTTTTCTCTTTTTTGTGCGATTTTTGGTTTGGTTTTGCTGCTAAATTCTTAGTTGGCTTGAGGTGTTTGATAGATGTATTTATACACTTATGCGGATTACAGAGACTAGCTGCCTAATATTGTTTAAGAATTGGTCTTTCTATTCCTTTTTGCGAACCTGTAAAGGCATCCTTTGAAATGGTTTTCAAATTTTTTGAGAGATGCAGTGACATGAAGCCAAAAGAATGTAAACATTCATGATCTATTCTTTCGTGCCTTGATTGACAAGTCAATACTTAAAGTATTATTTGTGATAGTCATAGAATAAATCTTTATAAAGATTCTAGTCTATTTACGGATCTTATCTTGCTTTCAATCATGCCCACTACAGACTTGTAGAACAAAACTTGGATATGGTAATTGGTTTCTGTTTAATTTTCCAGATAATAATCTTTAGAGATGGTAACGTTTTTGTGTTTCCTTTTGTAGACAATAATATGGGCTGGTGGAAAGAGGAACATTTTAATGCATCAGATGTCGATGGGGATCATTTATTGAATTTAACCGAGTTCAATGAGTAAGTACCAAATTCTACAGCAAGTTTCAACTGATCTACTCCCAATGAAAAGGGTTATTTTCAGTTGCTGCTATTGCTATCCCTTAATTTTCTGCTTCATGTTTTCCTAGCTTCCTGCACCCAGCTGACAGCAAAAACCCAAAGCTGCTTCAATGGTTGTGCAAGGAGGAAGTAAGGTAACCTGAATTTTTTTCATTCTTCTTTTTCTTTTTCCCCTTGAAAATCATAGATATATCTGTCCTAATAAAAATGAATCAACTCATGCTTAAATTATATATTTTGAGTTCATGAAATAAGAAAAACAGTTCCCAATTTTTGGGCATGTTATCCCATTTGCATTTGATATACTTGTTCTACTATTGCCTTTGAGACTCTAAATTAGTATTAATTTTGCTTCTTTTTTTTCCTCTTTAGGGAAAGAGATACAAACAAAGATGGGAAGGTTAACTTTAATGAATTTTTTCATGGGCTATTTGACTTGGTAAGAAACTATGATGAAGAAGGTCATAACTCTTCCCATCCACCTGATGACTCAATGGAGACCCCAGCTAAACAGTTGTTTAGCCAGCTTGATAAAGATGGTGACAGGTACTGAACTTTTGATATTTAGTATCTTGGTTGAATTGAGAACTTAGTTGTCTGATGGTTAAATAAATTTACAGTGATTCCTATTTAACAGATTCTTGTCAGATGAAGAGCTACTGCCAATAATTGGCAAACTTCATCCATCAGAGCGGTACTATGCAAAACAACAAGTAGATTACATCATATCACAGGTATTTATGACACCAAATAATTGAGCATTACCATGCATTTATGTATGTATGAGTTCACTAATGTTTCATTTTATTCTTTTTGTTTGATATCTGCAATCGCTTTTTGTTAGAACTATTTTGCTGAAGCCATGTATTCCATCAGCTTTGCATTTATACTTGGAATGTAATGTAATGCAAAAATTGATGGGCTAGGAAGAGAATAATGCAATGGAGTGTCAGTCTTATATTTTAGTTTGGTATAATGAAATTTAAATGCAATGCAATGAATGATTTCAAATCTATTTTTCATAATAAAGAAGTTTTTAGAGGAAAATTGAAGTTTTGAACAAATAAAGCATAACAAATTTAAATTTTGTAAAAAGGAAGAATAATTATTAAATCAATTATGATAAGGACCACAACAAACAAAAACAGATGTTAGTACTTAGTGTTGTCAAGGTTGCAACATGCACTCTAGGTGCTAGAACCCTTATATTGCCTAAGGCACAAGATGCAAAAAAGCTCACTTGAGTGAAGTTAGGCGTGTATATATATATATATATATATGTGTGTGTGTGTGTGTGTATAAAATATGCTTAAGAGTTATGATATATAATTCTGTATAAAGTGGTCAATTTTTATCCTACAAAACATGAAATTTCCGTTTTCTTTTTCTGGTCAATATGCATGATTTCTTTTTGGTCCCAAGTTTGTTGTTGAATACTCAAACATTGAGGAAGTAGAGAGTTTGATATTGTCCTTTTTTTACTATTAAAGGTACAGCTAATGAAAAAAATAAAAAATATAAAGAAATGAAAGAGTTTCTTTCAGGCGGGCTTTCTTGCACCTACCGCCTTACAAAAAAGCATGCCTAGGTGCTCCTTGGCCGAAGGGGTCCAGTCTGAGGCACTTTTGTTGGCTGGCTCTGCACCGTAGAGCACTGTTAGTACTAGTCAGAGTCAATCATTGATTGCTTTTCCCTTCCCTTTTAGCTTTTACAGACAGCCTAAGATAAGTAAATGTTACCTAAACTGAAAACGCTGAATGCTTTATGCTCAACATTAGGCTATGGTTCTTACTAAAAAAAGGGGTTATGATTTAAAACAGGACAAAGTAATACCTGCTGGAAAGAGACAGCTATTAGAAACAACAATGCATTCATGCATTCTTATAATTTTTGCATTTTGAAATGGATGACTCTGCATGAACCAACAGTGCAAGAAAATTTTCTATTTATCCTTTTGGCATTATGGAATTTTCTGGCTATGGTTTTAACAATTCACTCTGCATGAATCAAATTATTGTTACTTCCCTCATGGAAAATGTTTAAGGCAAGTTATACAATAAATACTCCCTTTTTCTTATCCATGCCCTTTGTCCAAGTCTTAGAACTCTCATTACCTTATATTATGCTAATGTGTTGAAGGTGATAACTCGGTTACTACCGTTATTGCATTCTCCAAATAATATGGTCTTTGTATTAGATTAAATGTTCTTGCATAATGAAATGATTTTCTTGCAAGTCATAGTTTCTGCAACCTTTTATGACAACAATCTCAACCAAGGCTTGACCTAGTTGTTGCTACCCCACTTTAGGAGGAATAAAGTCCAAGGTTCAAATCCCCTCTTCCCCTTGGACTTCCTTTGATGTGCCAAAACAAAAGAAGCTTCATTATTGAACATTCTGTTTATTTGATTACAGGCAGATTCAGATAAAGATGGTCGCTTAAGCTTAGTTGAGATGATTGACCACCCATATGTATTTTACAGTGCCATCTTCAATGATGATGAAGATGAAGATGACTACGAATACCATGATGAGTTCCGCTAAATGCTAATATAATGATAGGTAAGAGGAACCATATGTAATCTGCTTGCATCTATATTATCTGTCTTTGCACAGTGGATCGCTTTTTACTATAATTTTGCAGGACACAAAGGCAGCAATAGGATTCAAATTCTTTTCTGGCAAGAATTGTATGCTTCATAGAATTAGTAATTATGAAACACTTTTTACAATTTCAATGAAGGTTATGCTATCAATGTTGATATCCATGGTGAGTTCCTGTTCTCTATTGTTTGCTTCCCTTTTATTTTGGGTTTTATTCTATATCTATCAGCTGCTTCACATTGCTATTGTTCATTGCAGATCATGGACTTTTATCTTGTTCTGGAGGCCATTTCAGAACTGGTCCTCGGAATTTCATCTTTCTGACTTATATATATACTTGATGATACTTGATGTTTCATATTTGAAAGTGTTTTGGAGCGCTCAAAAAATTCTGATGAATCGAAATTTGTTGGTCATGATGGGGGAGTGAATCAAATTAATGGACCTCTAATAAACTTTGCGGGGGTTGCATTTTAAATAATTTAAGAGCTTGGGATTTGTATGACTGATTTCTTACAAAATTGAAAATAAAATTATATCATTGGAAGATATTCGTTAACGTATGAATTGCCATGTTCCAGACCCTTTGCAGTTTCTTGCATCTCTTTGTTTGGAGCTATAATCTGTATGGTCCAGCTTTATATATGTTAAATTCGGGGTCCGTATACCCAACTCAAACCCCAACGAGATTGGTGTAAGAAATCCTCAATTGCCCGTTGTTGTTGAAGTGTTAAAATCTTTTAGTAATAGTAATGTGGGCATTCATCATCACAATTTGCATAAAATTTAATGTTAAAGATAAAGCAGCACATACACCATATCTTGCGAAATTGAACATCTAGTATGGAGTTCAAAATTGTAAAATTTCATTCCATTTATTTGTTTATTCAGCCACATCAAAACATCTCAGGTCACAAAATTCAACTTGGTGAGATATCAAAATTACCATGGACAAAATAATCAAAGGGAGGAGCCCCATCCACCACCACCAGGAGTTAAAATCTCGAGTATTTCCCCTGCCTGAACCTCGACAGTGTTTTTACCTCCAAGGTAGATTCTTTGTTTATCTTTTGTTATAAGATAGTTGGCGCCACGAGCCCCATTTGCCCCTCCTTTAAACCCTCTAGGTGCATGCACACGCCTCTCTGAAAGAATGCTAACCACAACTGGGCGCCTAAACTCTATTTCCCTCACAAGTCCATCACCCCCTTTGTGAAGTCCTGCTCCTCCACTGTTCTCTCTAAGTCCAAACTTGTGCAAGAATACCGGATATCTCTGCTCCAAAATTTCTGGATCCGTCATTCGAGTGTTGGTCATATGGCACTGGACTCCGCTTGTTCCATCCCAGCTAGGACCAGCTCCACTCCCTCCTCCTATCGTTTCATAATAACCGAAAGTATTATCCCCAAAGGTAAGATTATTCATACATCCCTGTGAACAAGCACAGGCCTGAAATGCAGTCAATACTACATCAGTTATTCTCTGAGATGTGAGAACATTGCCTCCCACTACAGCAGCTTTATCACTTGGAGACAGGAATGAGCCTGCCGGTACATGGATTTTAACTGGAGCCAAACAACCCTGATTAAGGGGAATATCAACATCCACCAGACAACGTAGGCAGTATATGACTGCTGCAGCAGTGACTGCCTCTGGAGCATTCCAGTTACCATAAACTTCGGGGCTAGTTCCACTAAAATCAAAATTTGCTTCCCCTTTGTTAGAATCAATTGTGAGTTTTAAATGAATGACAGACCCATCATCCATGCAATCCTCTTCTACTATCGTGATGCAGTTTCTCTCGTCCAGCCTTGTTGGCTCTGAGGAAACTCTTGCAGCAACTGACTTGAGCATCTCTCTCACTGCTTCTTCCGCATTAACCTGCACATAAGTCATGTAAGCCTGAACAGTTTCTAAACCATACTGCTCAACAAGTTCTTTGATTAGAGTGATTCCTCTCTGGTTAGCAGCCACTTGAGCTCTAAGATCTGAGAGATTATCTTGAAGCTGGCGTGTTCCTGGGATTCTCTGAGCATATTCATCAGCACCTGGAAACTTCAGTAGTTTGATTATTCCTTCTTCTTGGAAAATCCCCTTTTCCACAAGTTTAAATGCTTTTATGGCAGCCCCTTCTTCCCATATAGACTTGGAAAAAGGTGGCATGCTTCCAGGTGTAACACCCCCAATCTCAGCATGATGTCCTCTACTTGCCACAAAAAACACTAGTTTCCCATTATTAAAAACAGGTGTTATCACGGTTATATCAGGAAGATGGCTACCTCCAGCACAGGGATGATTGGTGACAAGAACGTCTCCCTCATTCAAATTGTCACCCCAGTATTCAAGCTGCCACCGAACTGTACTGGACATAGCTCCAAGATGCACAGGAACATGAGGAGCATTGGCAACTAGTCCCCCATCTGGACCAAAGAGAGCACAAGAGAAGTCTAGCCTTTCCTTGATATTTGTTGAGATGGAAGTCCGCTGCAAGGTTCGTCCCATCTGTTCAGCTATTCCCATAAATCTGTGATTGAAGATTGAAAGTTGCACAACATCTGCAACCTTTTCAGCAACTTTCACAGTGTTTAGAATAGACTCAATTTCAATTTTAATGTTTCCATATTTGGTTATAATAGCTTTACATTTTGGTTCAACTATCACTGTACTACTACCATTCATGATGATTGCAGGGCCAGGAATGGCATGCCCATATCCCAGATGCTCAAGCTTGAACAGTGGTGTATCATGCCACCTGTTCCCAAAAAAGACCTTGTAGTGGCCTTCAATTTTAGGGGAACCAGAAGCAGGTTCTAGGACCCGCGGTTTCAATAAATTAGCAACTCCTACACCCCGAACTCGGACATCACAAACAAGGATATTTCTATTCTGTAGCTTAAATCCGTACTCCTGCTGGAAAAGCTTCACAAATTCATCAGCATAGTCGCATCCAGATCCATCTTCAGCAATAAGTCTCTTTACCATGATAGCTGTATCTGTACCATCATACCTCAAATTTAGATATGTCTCAGTCTTTATATTTTCCTCTCTAAACCCTTGCTCTTGCAGCTTCTGCTTTACCTGCTTCAACAATATATCTTCTCGGCGAGAGGCCTCTAGAACCGATTCAGGACCATATACAGCAGCATATGGCTCCTGTGCCTCTTCGATAACATCTGCTAATCCCATTCCATATGCACTTAAGATTCCACAAAACCGGTGAATAAGTACTTCTGTCATACCCAGTGACCTAGCTATGGCACAGGCATGTTGTGGCCCCGCACCTCCAAAGCAAGCAAGTGCATGGCTCCTTGTTTCATGGCCCTTCATCTCAGTTAATTGCCGTATGGGACGGCACATTGTCTCATTGGCAACATTCACAAACCCAAGTGCAATTTCCTCCACTGTCATGTCCTTTGCAAATGAATCTTGCCTCTTTCTATAAGAATTTATTTGCTCAGCAAGCTTCTTGAATTCTTCCTTGGTAGCTTTCACATCTAAAGGCTGGTCCTCTTTTGGGCCAAAGATTGCTGGGAAATAATCAGGAATAACATAACCAAGAATCAGGTTTGCATCAGTGACTGCCAATTCTCCACCTTTCCGATAGCACACAGGACCAGGATGAGCCCCCACTGACTCTGGTCCAACCCGCAAAGCACCAAATTGGAACTTTAACTTTGATCCACCACCAGCAGCAACAGTGTTTATGTCAAGCTGAGGCGCTTGTATTATAGCACCAGCAATTTTTGTTTCTAGGACTTGTTCATAACTTCCAGCATAACGGCTCACATCTGTTGATGTACCACCCATGTCAAATCCAATCAAAGGCTTCTCTGTTTCAAGCCCAAAAAGAGTCTGCGAGTAGCCAACAACTCCCCCAGCAGGGCCAGACAAAACAGCCTTGTGCCCTGAAAATCTACTTTCTGGAGCAAGCCCTCCATCTGACTGCATAAACAAAACATTCACCTTCCCAAGGCCTTCATCAAATCTAGATATGAAACCTGATAAGTACTCTTTGACAACTGGGGTCAGATAAGCATCTACACTGGCTGTTAAACCCCGTGGAACAGCACGAACCATGGGAGCCAAAGCTGAAGACAAAGAAACATGTCTAAAACCCAAGTTCATAGCCAACTTTTCCAGTGCCATTTCATGATATGGGTAAGTGTAGGAATGCATTAGCACAACAGCCAAACAACTAATCCCTTTCTCCAACAAACCCTTTAATAAAGGCTTCAAAGATTCTTCATCTAGACAGTTGACAACCCTGACAAGCTCACCAGAAACTCCATAAACAAACGACTCGGAATTCTCCTTATTCCGTTTGTCCTCTTCAAGAACTAGCTCAATCCTCTCATCAACTTCAATAACTTCCTCATAAAGATTGGATGGTTTAGTTGCAGTAAGGTCAAAGATATGGGGACGCGACTGGTCACCAATCTGTAACAAATCCTTGAAACCTCGAGTAACACACAAAGCAATCCTTTCCCCTTTTCTTTCCAAAAGGGCATTGGTAGCCACAGTTGTTCCCATCCTTATCCACTCAATCCTTTCAGTTGGGATTTTGACAGTTCGGGGGATTTTCTCCCCTGTATATTCCTCTAGGATTCTCCTGATTCCTTCAATCGGAGCATCGTCATAATTTGATGGATCAACGGATAAAAGTTTGAGAACCCGACCATCAGGGTGACCGGGAATCTCGGCATAAACATCGGTGAAAGTGCCACCTCTGTCAATACAAAACCTCAGCTTCTCTCCACCGACACTCCCCATTTCCACTCAAAAACCCCACAAATAAAAAACTGAACCAGAGGACGCAAGATTCACAAATCTTATAAAAACCAGAGAAACATAGCGATTTAGAATATGAACAAAACAACTAGTAATAAAATAGTAAGAGTAAATGAGATATGGGATGTAGTAGAAAGGTTGAGAGCGTTTACCTGGTGGGATTAAGAAGTAAGGAGGTGTTTGAGATTGATACGTCTATATATGGACGGCAATGGGCGTTGCTTTGGTGAAAAATAGGAAGGGAAAGGGACCCCACCAACCTTTTTCCTTCTTTTCTACAGACAGACACGCGGTATCGTCGTAGGCAATGTTATGGTGAGTTTAGTCATAGATAGCAACCAATCTGGATTGCCTTTTGTGGGATGGTAAGTTGCTTGCTCTCCTCTCTGCACTTTGCCCACTTTACTCACCAGATGCATACTACTGTGTTGCCGACTCAGTACCTATTAATTTTTCTTTTAAATAATGACCAATATTTATTTTTATGGCTTAATGTATGATTTGGGAAATGAATTATATATTTTTATGATTTTATATTTATAAACAAAAATTTTCATTAAATATTATCATAATTTTATTTTTGTCAAATATTTTATTTTCACATTAATTTTGTTAATTATAAGCTGATTTAATAAAAAAATTAATAATTTTATCATGTATGATACATTCTTATTGGTCAATATTTATTATATTAATATTTTAATTAATAGTATTAATTAAAGACATAAAATATTTAACGAAATAAAATTAGGTACTTAACTGTAAATTTTTTTATAAATACTAAATCATTAAAAACAATATGGTTCAAAGACCAAATTACATATTAACTCTTATTTTGTATGAGTTCTTGATTTTTTTTTTCCTTCGACAACTTGTAACCCCATACTTAAAAGTTTTCACCCAACCTTAGGATTCATAAGAATGGAGCATTTAGCACCATAGTTTATGGAAATTTTAAAGCTAAACGCTTATGGCTTTTGTTTAGGTATCACTTTTTCACAGGCAAGTCATCTGTGGCTGTTTAATTGATTGAGCGAAGCCAGACTCTATCCTTAGAGATAGATTGAAGTGACTTGATTTGATTATGATAATTAATTAAAATTCACAAGAAATATCCATCTCACTTTATGGTGGCCAAAAAGCAGAAATTTTTTTTTTTTGCATTCCAAAAAACATTACTTTGCTGCTGCTACGAACAAAATGGTTCACTCTTCTGGCTTCCCCCCCTTGCATTGATTGGGTGATGATGAGCCTAAGTCTTATCTCCCGATCTTGAAGTGAAATCAAGAATTTTATATATTAAAATTAATCTTAAAATATAAAAATTTACATTTTTTTTTGTAAGTATTTTTTATAAGATAAAATCATAAGTTTAAAAAAATCAAAACGAATAATATCTTATAAAAATATAAATTATGACAGATAAATTAATTTAAAATATCGGATAAACGCATATCCCGATTCTAAAATCGCACGAACTTATAAATTAAATCTCGATCTGTGACAAATGATATCAAAATTAATTTTATAAGATACTAAAATCGTATCATTGAAGACGATAAACTTTCGTTGGAATAAAAGAAGATGTCACAGTTCTGAAATGAAATTAAAAATCCCACATCGATTGAGTATTAAAATTTATCTTAAAATATAAGAGTTCATGCACTTCTCTATTTGTAAAACGTTTTTTTGTAGAATAAAATCATAATATTAGAAAAACCAAAACAAACAATCTCTCACAATGTTGTAAACTGTATACATATAAACTAATATGAAACGTCCGATAAATATATATTCAGATCCTAAAACCACGTAAATTTGAAGATTAAGTGTCATGACCTGATGTCACGGGTCGAAACTCAAGCTCCGAACCCGCGCGACTTCGAGACCTGCGCATTCACTCTTCCGACATCTCAAATCAGCCTTCCTACTACGATTCACATTCTTGTGAGATATTATCCGCTCTAACCCTTCTGATCTCACGATTTTATCCTACAAAAGATATCTCACAAGACAGAAGTGATGTGAACCCTTATATACCTCAATGATCCTCTTATTATGTTCGATGTGAAATTCAAGACTCTTTCTTATCCGTGACATTGACACTTACCATTGCCTAGCATGAAAAAACCACCTCCAGCAAAGTAGGCAGTTGATCTTTCCAAAGTTGAACTAACTTCCACCTCTTGTTTTTGACTAAAAACTCAATTGCATTGGGCCAATTGAGTTTTATCCGAGCCAAAAGTAAAACCATTTAATAAAGCAAATACCCAGACTTTCATTCCATTTGAGATGTAAAATCCCATCAGATTCAACTTAAAAGAATATTAGAAGGGGATTAAACTCCAAAATCAGTTTTAAGTGACCCTTTTGTCTTTTGGTCAGAAGAGAGAGCAATAGGGCCCAAACCTTAGGATCTCTATCCAATCTGCATCTCACTCTTATCATCATCACCTGAGCTAAGCTCAAGTGGTCCCTGAACTGACCTATCAACCTCACTCATATGATAATCAATTTACAATTCCCAATAACTCATCAAACACGAAAAAGACAGCCTAGATCAAATTTTAAACGGATTTTTTATATGTTCGAATATTTTAAGGGCAAATACAGTACTAAACGTTTAATTTCCAATTCCTCCCTCTCAATTCTCAACCAGGTCAGGCATGGCAAGAATGGTTCATGGAGCTGTTTGGTAAAGCCTATCCATTATGAATTTATAGAATAATTTGACAAATGCTACAGCTCTAAAGTGAAAACCCCAACAGTTTAAACCAGGGAAATTGATTGCTCCAACAGCTGCTGCTGCCCCCGCACCCCCCCCCCCCCCAAAAGAAAAAAAAATCAGTTTCCAGTACAAAAATTCAATTCTTTAATCTTCAACCAGATGCTAAAAGGTGACTTCTTTTATGTGGAAACTGAATCACCCTACAGTCAATCCAAATCCAAATTTGTAGTCTTTCTTCCTATGATCTATCTGCATATCATAAATCCAGAGAGAGAAATGTTAAGAAACACTGCTCCATGGGCTTGATCAATCAAGGAAAAGAAATCCAAATGTTAAACAAAATTCACAGCTAATAAACAAAAAACAACTAAACAAACTTCTTTAAGGACATGTTTGGCGCATAGAATGTTGAATAGATAAGATGATTATCATAACCCTAATCCTATGTTTAAGGAAGGATAATTTTGAATTTTGATTAAAAAAATCATTTTATCCACACTTTTAATCTTGCACATAACAAACATGGTGAAGGATGAATATCATCCCATCTTCCTCTTAAACTTGCACACACTAAGAATAAGATGACTTCATCTAATCCAATCTTATCCATAATTTTGTGCACCAAATGCACCCCTAGTGTATAATTACAAATATGTTTCTTAGGAAAGTTATCTTACCTCCGCGGAGAGAATAAAATTTAGGCCCATATTTAACCGCTCTTCCAGATAAGCAGCTGCGCATCCATTCGAATCAATCTTCCCCCTCAATCGACACTGAAAACGTGACAAATTGATTGTCCAGAACGATGGTCCAGTTAGTTCCATTCTATTACTTATTAGAAAGTTTGCTGGAATTGAACCTATAGGCAAATCTACACTGATGTCAATAAACTTCATAACAATAACACTTCCTCAAAAGTAGCCTTGCTTCTTTGGCTGTCCTCTGAATTGCCCCATTATAGTTGGTTGTGTTTCCTCCAGGTGCCCTAGGTCTACTCCCTTTATTTAAGACCATTAAAATTGATAATAACTGCTTGTAAGAGGTCTATCGTATTAAGCTTCCCCCTCCCCGCTTCTCAAAGTATCCAGCAAAGGAAAGACAGCTTTATAAATTTCTTTTCGATGATATCGAGAGCATAACATGCATATGTAAAACAATATAAATGCTAAATTCTAATGTCTATAGACATGCAAAAACATCAATGTGCATTAATATTAAAAATCTAGCAACCAAAAACTTACCTGTCTAAGGATGTAATCATATCCAACACTTGATGTTACATCTCTTGTTATGTAGTTATACATGAAATCTGACGCGAGAGAAACCTTCATAGAAATAAAATTGCATAAGAATGATTATAAAACAAATTACACTTATGTTAGGAGGAAAAAGTTCTTACCTTCTCAGATACCTTCTGAACATAGCTCAAAGCAACTACTCCAGTACTTGCAACTTGCCCTGTGGCAACCTGGAGGCAGAGAGTGCTTAGATTGGTCATATGTGCATAAAGCAAACATAGAATATTTCTACCAATAACATTTCAATTCCACACCTGCAACAAGTTCCTCTCGGCAGGGGAAACGTGAAAAAATGGTGGGGGAGAACTGAATTAACTATTTTATGGCTTAAAACTCGGCTTTAGAAGAAGCATTGCCATCAAATATCCACTTATCATCCAGGGACCAGAGGAACAGTATTTCTGAAGATCTAGAAACTTCATGAGCAGGAGTTTAAACACTGAACTAAGGCTACGTTTGGTAGAAAGGAAAGACAGAGGAAGTGAAGGAAAATGTTTTAATCTAATGGTTGAGATGCTATTATGTAGCTCAACCAATAGATTTAAACTTTTTCTTTCCTTCCCACCAAACAGAGTGTAAGAGTTTTTCATGGGTCTATAACACATGCGCACACACAGGATCATCAAAATTTGAGCTAGGTGCAAAATGTTCTAAACATTCATGTATTACCTAGTTTTGAATGCAATTCAGTTTTACCTTCAGAAAGACGGCATTAAAACCATGTCCTTGATTCTAATGACTTGGTCCACCACTTCCGTATTTTGGAAATGTCATAAGTCACTGAAAAGAAGGGACATCCTGATTCTCACAATTTGTCGACCGTATTTGCAATTTAGTTAGGGATGTAAATGACACCCCTACCTTTGTAATAGGTCTAGAAACATATTTAGAAGTAATAAACAACACCCACTAACTATTGCAAAAATAAATATTGACAAGCCGGTGATAAAGGAAGAAACCAGGCTAAATTACCATCTTATCTGTTTCATATCGGGCAGCATATCCAATGCCTGACTTTCGGTGCTGACCAGCCCAAAATACTTCACCACCCAAGGATAAATGTCGTGTCACACTCTGCACAAATAATGCATAGATTCAGCATATTAATAACAACAAACACAATCATAATTGCAGAAGTAGTGGATTCAGCAGAAGATTGATGATGAATGCAATGCAATGGCTCACTAAAACAGCAAAGAAAATGCAGAAGGCTTTCAGCACAGGAAGTTAGGTTGCTTCTATAATTATTAATATATGCATCTTATAGTATTTCCTATTAGAAAAAGGAAGATAAACCAAGGCATTAATAATAAGGCACAGCATCAACATAAACAACATATTAACATAGATGTGAAAGCTTGCAGCACATGTTTGTTACATGTATTCTTTAAGAAAAAGCATATGTCTACCGATTGTGATGAATGATCCTTGTCCTACAACATGATTAGGCAGTGTAACACAATCACACACAAACGAAAAATTAGGAAAACTTCTAGCAGGATATTACTATTGTTAAATCACTTGACAACACAATGGTGAGCAATCATTTTGGGAAGGCAACATAAGAAGTTAATTTAACTAGCAGATACAATTCTTTAACTAGCAGATACAATTCTATCTTCATGTTAATTTTTTGCAAGCATTGATCTCAAGATTTGTCAATGCACAAAGAAATCACAAAGTCTACATTATTTTGCATCTGGGTATAGTACAAGTCATTTTTCTAGGTATAGATCATCCAATAACTTGTCCATATATAATGTAGCTTCATATGATTTACCTGGATATAACTAGCTCCAAATAAGGCAGCATTTCCCATTTGAAACTGAGACCTGTAGTCTTTACCCTGAACAAGGAAAAGAAAAATGTCAAAAGATAAAGCAAGCTCATATTTCATGGCAGCAAGCCACCACGCAAATTTGTTTACAAGCATAAAAAAAAGCTACCAAGATGATTAATAAAATCAAAAGAAAAAAAAAAAAACCAGAATATGAGGTATCACTCTCACAATGACACAAAGAAAAAAGAAAAGACAGACCAAAGCTAACTAGCCAAGACATAATTTATTTAATAGTGACTGACCTTGTAATCAAAGTTGACTATGCCATGTGACATATGAGGCTCATTTGAGAGCTGGAACAGCAAAAACTAAGTTATCAACTACCTTATACATGAAAAAACGTATTCAGTCTGAAAACAAGAAAAGCAAAAGATTACAGAATAAATGAAACACTATTTACCTGGGCATTAGCCTTCACAGTAAGATTGTCAGTCAAATCCCATTTCACTCTTGCATTGAGCCTACCATCAGTCAGCACCCTCCCAATAAGCATCAACTGCAGGAAACCCATAATTGATCTCACTATTGGATTGACTTAGTATGATAATATAATTTAGAGTACAAGAGGGTGATACTGGAAGAGTAAATATAATGAGAGAAGCCATACATTTGGGTCAATAAAATTGGCACCAAATTCATAGTGAGCAGTAGGAATTTTAATGGTTTCAGCAGATTGAGAAGGAATTTCTGTTGGGCCCATATACACACTGAGATGATTGGGAATGCATAGATACCGTTATTAATTAATATAAAAAAAATGAAAATCAGAATAATAATAACAAAAAGCTCAAAGGGTCAAAGAAGCTGACGCTACCTGTGACTGAGTGAGAATTTCTGATTTAGTCCTTTGGTGAAATCAAATCGCAATCCTTCAAAAGCTTCTGGCTTCAAAGACACTGCCAAAGATGTTCAACCAATAAGCATTAATTTTTCATGAAAAATAACAGACCCTAACCAATATTTTAGATCATTCTTTTTTCTACATAATCCCCGCAAAAGATGGATAATAAACCTAGAATTCAAAGCTTTTAGAGATAGGTATACAATTAGACAACAAAATCAGAAAACAGAAGAAACAAATTAAGTGGATATTCTTCCACATTTTGACAGGCACAGAGAATATACATAAGGTGCTGAAGAAAATAGATACCATTCAGAGAAAGATATTAAACATACATTTCAAAGCACTTGAACGATGATTCAGAGAAAAAACTTAATTGTATCTCAAGAACCTAACAACATTTTACTGACAAATCTTAGTAGTGTATCACTCTCACATGCTTTTAGTTCTCTAATAAACCTTTTTCTTTCCCCTGTTCCCAAACATTACTATTCACCGGCCGAGCTCTTGTTACCATGCAGCTTTGCACACTACTATAATGCCACCTTGGGCGTGTTAATAGTTGTCCATTTATGAAACCCGCTAGAACCAATTCTAAGAAGCAACTGCTTTTATAAAATTTGCACTTAAGATTAATAAAAAACCAAAACCTTCCCTCCTCCTAGAAAAAAGAGATATTTTTTTTATATTTTAGCAAGTCATGCAAAATTATCAAAATAAATAAATAAAGAAAGCCATCATTTTCACCAATCAGAGCAGACTAGGGTTTTAAGAAAGGGGCTTAACAACAAACAAAAACCTAAATCTGCAAACCCTCCATTCCACTAACTTAACCGTCTCAATTCAAAATCCCAAATCATAAAATTCCACATAAGCCAATAAAGATCAAGAAACGACCAAACATGGTTTTTTTTTTTTTTTAAATAGCATCCATAATCTCAAGACGTAGTTACAAATCAAGAAATAAAAGAATAAAAAAGAAAACCCATATATTATAAAGTGAGAAGGGAATACTGAGAGCTTCGCGGTGGAGCTCTTCAAAAGGAATAGGGCAAGGGAGATTCATGAAATCCGTTTTCTCCTCAGCTTTTTTGGATTCGCCGGCTGGAACCGTCGTAGGACCTGGAGGTACAAGCCCCGCCATTTGTCTTCTATTTTCTGCTCGAGGAATTTGACGCAAAATCAAACAGCCGCCAGCTTGAGAGGGTGAAGACGATTAAGCGATGGGGCAGCAGTTACAGCAGTCAGGCAAGACTTATTGTGGGGTTTTAGCCAGGGTTTTATGTGACATGTGTGAAGTAAAAAAAAAAAAAAAAAGAGAAAAATCATATAATTTAATTCAAGTTCGTTAGTTGAAAAAAGAACAATTCATCTTAAACTTTTTAATTTTACCGAATAAATAAATCTTATTATTAATAATTTGTTAGCTATATGTTAAAAACAACATTTAAAGATCAATTTAACTCTGAAAATCAATATTCTCAAATAATTACATAAAATAATATTTTATAATAATAAATTATTTTTTATTTTTTTAAATATATCAAATCTATTAATAATTAAAAAATTTTAGATGTAACATATAAATATAAAACTTATAATTATAAATATGTTGATGTGTAAATATATGTATAATAAAATAAATATATTAAGCATATAATATTATTTTGACATATAACAATTTATGAAAAAGAAATATGAAAGATATAATAATAAAAAATTGATTGAAAAAAATAACAACTGGATATTTATTAATTCCATTTTAATTATTATAGTATTCATATATATGTTAAATTTAAATTTACATATTTGTAAAATTATAATGATAACAAATTTATTCATTTTAAATTAAAAATCATTTATAATAAGTAAACTCAAATTAGGGAGTTTTAATGTTTAAATAAATAATTATTGTTACTGTATATCCTACATATATAAAATAAAAAATAATATATATAAATATAAGAAATTTAAGTTTGAGGGATAGTTTTGTAATTATATAAATTTTGTTAACAAAATTAAAATTTTGATGTGAGTTTTTCATTTTTTAGATTAATGGACTTGTGTTAAATTATATTTAAAATTAAAGGATCTTGATGAAATTTAGTAATTTATTTTTAAAATATTTTTTTGACTATATATTTTTATTTTTATATATTTGTTTTTATTACGAGTTTAAAACAAAGTTTTAGAACCAAAATATATATGTAAGAATAATAAGGTTTTAGGTGTTGTTTGATACCCTAATGAAAAATTAAGTATTAAAGTTTTAGTTACGAAACATTTAAGTACTGAATTTATAATATAAAAAAATTTTCATATATTACTAAAAATTTAATATTTAGTTTTTTATTAAATTTTAAAAGAAATATGATTTTATAATTATTTTTAATTGCTAAAGTTAAAAAATAAATAATAAAAAATTATATAAGATGAATGTAATCAAATAATATTGTTTTTCATTTTTAAACAAAAATAATAATTTTTTAAATTAAAAGTAATAAATTAAAAATAATTAAAAAAATAATTTTTAAACTTAGCTATGATAAGATAGATGTGGAGGTGCAAATAGATCAATTCGATGATGATGATAAATAATTATATGCCCGGTGATTGAGAGTATATCACTTATAATAATTATAATATAATTAATTAATAATAATTTAAAATTATGTAAGATATATTAAAATTTTATATGTAATTTGTATTTATAAATGATAGATTTTTACATAATTTTTTATTATATTTAAATAATTGTAAAATTATAATAAAAGCAATTATAAGTAAAATGCTTTCGGATTATGCACTTATTTTGGTTTTTAGTAATACTTTTCTTTGTTTCAAACAATGAATAATAAGAATTGGGAAAACTTTGAACATTTGACTGTTGAAATATAAAACCAAGTTGGAACGTAAAGAATGTCACGATCATGAGAATAAAATTCTTAACCTATTAAAATTGGGAATGGTTGAATTTTTTCAATTATATAAATGTTTGGTTCATACATTTACTGTTTATATAGTTTATTTTGTCTTAATTTCAAGCAAAATTTTAATCTATAAAAATTTGAGTGCAATAAAAATATTAAATCTAAATAAAATGATAAAGTTTAAATTTTTTTTATTATTTTAGCCTTAAATAATATTAGACTTAGATTTTGTTTGGTTCACACTTTAACTATTTATTTTTTAATTATAAAAATGTAGTCTTTTGTTTGTAATAGTGTTTTGTGACCTAATTAAATGATATTTATCATTAATTAAGTACTCAAAATATTTTATTTATTTATTTTTATCCAATAATTAAAGAAAAGAAAATACAAAAAATAGCATAGAGTTAATTTTATTAAATAAAAATGTGACATAAAAATATATACTTAAATAAATATATATATTTAAAAAATTAATTATTATATAATTGAAAACAATCATATTGAACTTTTAAATGAAAATTGTATTAATTTACTATTAATTTCATGATAGTAAAAAATAAAATAAACTTTAAAAATATACCTCATGATTAAAGTCAAAATTAAAGTGCTCCTGAGATTTAAAACATGATTCTTAATTACTCAATGATTTGTTTTATTGTTTTTTCACTTAAAATTGTTACTTTTTTTGTTCTTTCTTATTTTTTAATTTTTTTTACTCTTCATTTAAATTTATATATATATATATTTAAATTCATACTCTCTCCCTAAAAATTTATTCTCTCTTTAAAATCAAATTAATTCTCTCTTTAAACCCAGATCAATTCACAAATAGCAACCTTTAAATCACCAAAATCTCTACACCACTACCACCGCCATCATTATAAGTTTACATCACCACTATACTTCATCTTTAACTTTCTTTATCAAATAGTCAAAATCTTGGTTATGCTATAAGCAACAATAACCCTCCTTCAACATCTAAGACTCCCAGGCCTTCTAAACTCCCATCTCTTAAACAATCCAAAATTGAAGGGCCTTCTTCTACATCCCATGTAGCTACTCTTAATTATAACGTAAGAATTGTTTGGCATCCTAATGGTTCTATAGACTATTAAAAGCATTCATACAAAATAGCCTATGACAACATGCATTATGAAGAATTGCCTATTTTGGCAAAACTCTATATTGATACAAGTAGAGGGGAAATCTGAATTGGTAGGAAAGAAAAAGGTTTTTATTTCTAACCAGAAAAAAATTTTGACAATGAAAAGCAAATATTCCATCAAACATCCTATTGATGATTATATGAGTTCTAATTCAAATGATTTATTGGAATCTAAAAAAATTAAACGAAGCGTTTATCCTAGTCTTTCAAATGGTATGAGCACTAGCACGCTTTATGTTGAAGCCAAATAAAGTTTCACCAATAAAGAAGTTAGTGAATGTGCAAGCAGTGTCGAAAAGTCTGGTGAAAATGGTGAAGTGAGAAGGAAAACAAGCATATGTAAAAGAGAGCAATGGTAGTGATATTAGTGATGAAAGCAACTCTAGTTGTCTGAGCAGTGCCTCTACAAACCCACAAAGCAAATTATACAAGATGGGAAACAATTCAAGTTGTCAGATCTCGAAAGGGAGACTTGGACTTTAAACACTTTAGGCTCTTGAAGAGATTAGGATATGGGGATATAAGCAATGTTTATCTATCAAAATTGATTTAATGGTGTTGGTGGTGTGGAGATTTTAGTGATTTGAAGGTTATTTATGGATTTGTTTAGATATAGAGAAAGAGTATGAATTTTTATATAGAGAAAAGTATGAAATCAGATCAAAAAAAAGGAAAAAATAAAAAATAAAAAGAAATGAAAATAGTAACAGTTTTGGTGAAAAAAATAATAAAACAAATCATAAGGTAATTAAGTGTCACGTTTTAAACTTTAAGGATACTTTCATTTCAACTTTAATCACATAGTATATTTATGAAATTTACCCTAAAAAATATATATGATTAATAGTAATTAAAGATAATGTAAATTGATTTTTTTTTATTTTCTTATATAGAAATCTAACTATTTTATTTTTATATGGTAATTTAATAAGCTTATTTATATGGTAAATGTAATATACTCATTTTTTATTTAAATAGATTCAGAAAAATAACTTATTTCATACTTATTATTTTTTATAATGTCACAAAAATTCATAAGATAAATTTTGCTTATTTTGACTAAACCTTGACCATTCTTAGAGTAAACCATGTGTCAAAATTTGTTGCCTTTTTTTTTCTCTCCTAACTCTTTCCTCTGCATGCAATTTGCCGCCTCGTTCTTTCGCCCTCCCAACTTTTTCCCCTTCAAGCAACAAATCTCTAAATCATTTGATTTAAAAAAAAAAAAGGCAGAGAGCGAGGGTGAGAGATAGTTTTCACTTTTTAATTTTTGATCCTATCTTTCTTTCTTTTTCTTCTCTTACCCACTTCCAACTGCTTATTTCATCCCTCTTTTCTCCTCCACTCCGTCTCTCAGCTGCCATAAGTTTTTTTTTTTTTAATGCCAAAGAGTAAGTTATTGGAATTAGGGAAGAAGGTAAAATCCTTAGTCCCTATTGGATTTTCGAATAACCCCATCCAAAAGAAAAAAAGTGAAAAAAGAAGAAACTAGAGAAGAATTGGTAACTTGGCTAAAAAAAAAAAAAGATTGATTATAACATATTTTTTTGTTCACTTTTTTTTTTTTGCTTTTTTTTTTTTTTTCAATAATGAGATTTTCAAGTAAGAATTTTTTGCCTTCTTAAAATTTTTCTGAGAAAATGACAACCCAATTACACATACATGGTGTATTTTTTTCCTTTACTGAATGAAATCTTGTGCTTTTAGTATTGTGTACTTTTATAACTAAATTTTTGCTTTCGTGTTTGAATGTGGTGAAACAAAATTTCTAATTTTTAAATTTTTAATTTAGTATGTCAAAATTTGGAGAGTTAACTAATGATGTTTAAGCTTTAATTTCAATTAGGGGAGATGAAACTTTTAGTTATGAATTAGAGCAATTTTTAAAATTTTTTTAATGTATGTTGGATGATACCTTGATTCTTGAGAGAGTGCTTTGGAAATTGGAAGCTACTTAAAGTTTGGTGGTATTCCAATTCAAAGTTAGAAAGTAGATGTCAATTCATTTTTCAATATGTTAAATTTTGACAATATATTCAATTAATATTTTTTTGTATTTCACCATAGGGACTCTATTTTGGTTTTGTGGAATTTGAAGTGGCAAGTTCTATGGAAAGTGTCATAGAAGTATTTATAAATTTTTTCCTATGCTGACCTTTTTATTAGATTAGGAGGACCAAATTTATAGTGTTGAAAAATAAATT